TCTCTCACTCTCTCTCACACACACACGCACACACACACTAGAGTGTGTGCTCACCTGGCCAGCTTGCTGAGGCCGAGGACTCTCTTGTTGGGGAGGTAACCGATGTGAACCTGCACAAAGGGAAAAGTTCATGTTCAGATGTTTGGTTTGATTTCACCCCCGGTGTCGGTGTGACGTTATAAAGAGGCACGGAGCGAAAAGTCAGCGGCTGTAAAACTGATCCCAGATAAAACCTTTCACCAGTTTTCTTTGAATTACATTTCTATACAACTAAACTAATAGAGCAAATAAGTTTTATATTTTTGAAAGGATGGTAAATTCACTATAGTGGCTTTATTATCACACACACATGAACACTTCAGCCGCTTTACCCCCTGAGCCACAGAGTTGTACAAGCAGCGGGGAATGAGCTACGAGGAGACAGAGCCGGTGGATCGCAGGCGTATAAACCACAGGAACGTCCAACCAGGGGCCTGAGATTCCACCCAGATATCAGTTCTCTCAATGTGACGGATTTATTTCATCAAGGTTTGTGAATCTGAGAAAACTTTAAAAAAAAACACCCTCACAATGAGAAGAAAGTAATAAAATACCCAGACGCCATCCTTCCGTTCAGTTCCATGGTATCATCCAAACAGTTTCTCTATAATCTTGCAGACAAACAAACAAAGAAACTGATTTATTCTCTGGGAAATTTGTAAAAAATGTCAAAAATATCCAAATGGATTCTTTTTTCTGGTCTGTGGAAATCTGTCTAATAGATTTTGCGTAATCTTTTGCAAACAAACGATAACCACGATACAAGATGAGTAAAATAAAACAGCATTTTAATATGAACATCGCAGAGACGTCAGGGAGAAACAGACGAGCAGCAGACGAGTCGTGAGCTGGAGAATCACTGCTGTAATTGTCTGGAGGCTCTGACTCTCTTACACGTGTTCGCTCCACTCAAATGTCAAAGGCAATTTGTTGACGAGACGAGAGAAAGGGCAGCAGCAGCAGGGAGGCTGCAAATATCTCTTCTTCTTCTTCTTCTTCTTCTTCTTCATCCCTCTGTGCTGCTGCAGCGATATATCGACATCAAACAGAGCGACTCCACTTATACTGCTCGTGTTGTTCACATTTACTGGAACAAGCTGTGAGCGACAACGGAGCCACGTTAAAAAAAATAAGAAGTGGAATCATATCGGCACCGAGGAACAACAGGGACGGAGAGAAATGACAAGAGGAGGATGTTTGTTTTTATTTTGTGTTTCGGGAATTTCTGCTTTTGAGCAGATCAAAGTCAGACTTTCTCTCCTTTGTGTCACATATATATCTATTTATATATAAGAGGAGAAGAAGAAGGAAGAAGAAGGGGAGGATGAGAAGGAAGAAGAGGTGGATGAAGAAGGAGAGGAGAAGCTGAGGAAGAGGGGAATGAAAAGTAAGGGAAGATGAAGGAGGACAAGGAGGAAGAGAAGGAAGAAGAGGTGGATGAAGAAGACAAATAGGAAGATGGAAGGGAAGAGGGGGACGAGGACAAGTAGGAGTAAGGGAAAGAGAGGGAAGAGGAGGTAGAGAAGAGAAAGAAGAAAGAGGAGGAGGTGCAGGAAGAGGAGGAGAAGCAAGAGGAGGACAGTATGTGATGAGTCACAGACTGACTGACAGATGAGAGGTTATTGAAGAGGCAACAGGAGGGAGGAGGTTCAGGAAAATAAACAGCCACCTGGTGTCTACACACACACACACACACACACACACACACACACACACACACACACACACAGTGATTCATCAGAGCCCATTTAAAAGGTGGAAAAAGCTTCAGCTGCCTCTATTGTCTTAAATGACGAGCACCTGCGGGCGATGGAGGGATAAGAGAGAAAGAGGGAAAGGGCCAATCAGGCATCAGACGAGAGTGATGATGTCAGAGAGAGGAACGTAAACCAAGTGCAGGATAAACAGATCCCAGATAATCTGATTGTTTCTCATGTTCTGTCTCCAGACAAAACACAGACTGATGTTTTCTCAGATAAACGTCTCGTAACATCTTTTTTATGTTCTGGACCATTTTTTAAAATTAAATCACGAAGAGTTAAAGCTTCGTCTGAAGCTCAAGACAAAACCTGAGCACACGCTGAAATCTAGAAAACCATGGTTTCTCTACCAGAGCTTTTCAGTCTTCAACGGGGAGGAGGCAGAGAATCGAATCAAACTGTTTTGTCAAACCAGAAGCAAAAAACATAAAAACACTTTTACACAACACAAGTAAAATAATAAGACAAATAGAAATTGATGTGTGTTTCTGATTTGAGTCTGTTTTTCTGAGCAGGTCTGTAGATTTCCAGCTTCACTGCAGGTTCAAGGTTCAGACTCAACAAACACAACATCCACTGTGACAAAACACGAAAGTGTGTGTGTGTGTGTGTGTGTGTGTGTGTGTGTGTGTGTGTGTGTGTGTTTGTGTGCGTGTGTGTGTCTCACCCTGCCGAAGATGGGCACCAGGTGATGCTCACACATGGAGAACATGNGTGTGTGTGTGTGTGTGTGTGTGTTTGTGTGCGTGTGTGTGTCTCACCCTGCCGAAGATGGGCACCAGGTGATGCTCACACATGGAGAACATGTCGATGTCTTTGACGATCACCATCTCGTCGTGGTCTTCGTCGAAGATGGCGTCGTTCAGCACGTCTGCAGGAAAAAAAGAAAAAAAAAAACGATGGATGAAACTAAATCAACGGAAAAAAATCTTTATTATTCATATTTTTTGAACTCCACTAACTTTGTTCATTAGTCGTTTGACTGCAGCTTCAACATTGAATCATTGATTTCATCTATTTTTTTAAAGAATGAGCTTTTTGACTTCTTCTTCCTTCTGTTCTTAGTTTTCATTCATTTATTTTAACCCCATTGTTACTGCGACTAGTTTCTACTTATGTTGATCTTAATTTTACATAATTACATCATATAATGTGTCTAAAACTCCTCCTGCATCATGGTCTCCACCCTCGAGGACACACAGGCTCCGCCCCCAGCCTCGTCACGTGACGCCCTGGTCCCCTCGACCGCCCTCTTTATCGTCGCCTCCGTCGACTCTCCTGCAAACACCGTCGTCTAATTATAGCTCTGCTCCTTCCTGTTGTCGCTTTATTGCATTTTTCAGTCGCCCGGTGGCTCAATAAACTGCTTTTATCAGTTTGTGACGAGAACGACGCCTCTCGCTCTCGCCGCCGCCGCACTTTTTAATTTCCTGCCTCGTTATCTGTGAGAGGAAGAGAGGAGGAGGGGTGTGGGGTGGGGGGGGTCACCTGACCAACAGAGAACACAATGACTTGTTGCTTCAGTCTCTGATGCTTATTGACTGTGTTTGTGTGATTGTGACGCAGTTTGATCGACACCATGGAATCGTTCATCGTTCCAGAGTAAAATCAAGATTCCTAGTCTTCCTCATATTTTCTGAGGAAGTTTGAAACCACGGAGCTTCTTCTGATTCTCTGATTCGGTTGTTAACGCCTCATTCGTCCTCTGGGGACCATGAACGTCTGAACAAAATCTCTTAACAATTCATCAAACAGCCGATGAGAAATTTCGGTCTGGACCAAAGTGAAGAGGCGATAAACCAGCCGAACACAGAGGCACCTAAACAACTGGATTAGATGTGAAGCTGCAGGAGGCCGCTGTGGTCTGAGGTCCATTCTTCTTCTCCAGTTAAACCGGCTCCTGGACACTTTGGGTATTAACCCACAAAGAAGAAAAACGGATTGTGTTGTAAATTTGCCTTCAGGTCAACGTTTTTATCCTGTTCTCAAAGTAACAAGTAATAATGTTCAAACACAAGTTGAGTTAACCTGCTGTTTTTTCTGTCCGAGCACAATTTAGTTTGAATTGTATTTGAAGTGTTCAGAAGTAACCATGAGCAGTTTGTGTTGTATACGTGGACGACTTCCACTGGATCTCTGGGATTTAGAAGAAAACGTACAAACGTGGCGTTACCAGGGCCGTGCTCAAACTCATGATTTCATACATATCAGCATCATGTCTGTGCATTGACGGGATTATTGATTTTTGGACGTACTTGAAGAAATCGATTAACTTGACAGGAAGTGATACGAACAATCGACAGAACCATGAAGATAAGAAGAATTTCATGTAACAAACCAGAATTATTCTTCTATTTAATTTCTCCCTGCGGATTTTTACACGAGCAGTTACAGTGGAAGTTGTTTATCACACATGAACACACACACTGTACACAAACACACACCATACACACACATACACACACACACACACACACACACACACACCCTGGAGGAAATAATATTAAATCAACCTGAAGTAAATAAAGAACAGCAGCTGGTTGGACGCTCTGGGTGACAGAGACGAAGCTGGTGTCAGGAAATGACAACGTTACCCATCATCAGCTCTAAGCTCAATCGTGCTGCCTGCTCTGTGTGTGTGTGTGTGTGTGTGTGTGTGTGTGTGTGTGTGTGTGTGTGTGTCTGGGTGTGTGTCTGGTTGTGTAGATGTCTAACTAACTAATACACACACAAAGAGAAGAGGCCACGTGTTGACTCTGAATGAAGCAGGAAACTGTTCAAAGACTAAATAAACAAGGTTCATTCATTGTTCAAACAGCCACGTGTGTGTGTGTGTGTGTGTGTGTGTTTATAGGCAGGGATGTACAGGGGTGACTCATCATCAAAGGCCCAGGGTTACAACTATGTATGTATAGGAAATGTACACACGCACACACACACACACTGCTGAGTCTCAGGAAATGTGTTTCTCTTTATTTGACGCTCGGCGCTGGTCGGACGTTAAAAAATGACTTTTTACTGTTGTTGTTGATGTTGTTTGTTGCTGGGCAACCACACAATCAGCTGATGATCGGCCGCAGAGCCCATCGAGGCCGATCTCATCACTATTTCATCCCCCCGCATCAGATCACCCCACATCTGACAACAGGATCGGCTCCATGAGTTTCCTGTTTGACTGTTATAAAGCAGACGATTGATTTACTTTTCTCATCTCGTCCCTGTCAGCCGTCAGTCAAACAGCTGTTCAGTGGAAACTTGGTGTAGTTGACACCGTTTTGAGTCGTGTTTGAGTGTCGGGGCTTCAGGATAGTCATGGTGGTGAGAAGATAATGAGGGATTTTTCCTTTTTAGGGTGAACTATCTCTTTCGCTGCAGAATGAACAACAGGGAAACTTCTCCATCGTGAAACAAAAAAAACCAAAACCCTCTCAGACTGTGAGGAACAAGATTCTCTCGTCTGACAAACCAAGATTTCGCTTCGAGTCTGAGCGTCACATCTGGAGGAAAGTTTCTTTCTCCTCCTGTAACTAAGCTCCTGTTTAATCTCTGCATAACTTTTCGTCATTACTGTTTTGTCATGTGCTCGACAACAAGAGGATTTCAGGCTCACGTGATGAAAAGCTGGATGTGGTATCGAACGCCTCACGAGCGCCTACTTATGACGTCTACGATCTCATTGGTGCGACGCCCGCTGGCATCTGTTCAATGACCCCCAGTCAGCCAGAGTGTCTGACCATTATTCTCAATGGTCTCTTCCATACAGAATTCATTTCCTGCAGTTATTCTTGTATATATCCACAGACGAATAAGAGCTCTGTTCTTCGGAGACATCACCAAGTTACTGTTGATTCAAACATGACATGTGATGGAACAGGTCCAAGCTTCTACCTCATTAAAGTTTCATCAACTCGATCTTAAAGTTTACTGAACTCTTAAGGAAGTCAAAGATGAATGTAAGAGAGCCATCGAAGTGAAACGTAGTTTTTAGTTTTGGATGTTCCAGAAAGTGTAAATGTGAATTAAAAAAGTGAGGTGCTTTGTTTTATTACTTTTTATGAAAGTTTGAAACAGCACAGTCATTTGATTCAACTCTCTCTGGAAAGAAAAATGCAATTAAAACTGTTCCAGCTCTGGTTTTAAACTCTTTACAGCATCACATAGAAATATTATGCTTTTTATTATGTGTTTAATTTTAATGTGTTTATTACAGCCTGTGTTCCCTTGGCACAAGTTTTCCATCAGTGCATTTTGTTCTTGTTCCAAAAAGAAGGAGAGTTGTTGGCATGATGTTGTTCTATGGATGTGACGTTCACGTGAATTGACACGTGCACGTATAGAGCAATAAACATATTTGCACATGTAATCTCACATGCACACATGACTCCACAGCAACACACTGCTCTTACATACAGATTCTGCTCAGAAGGTGTTGGCTGCATCATCTGTGCCCCTCCCACGGTGCGTCAAACGCCGGTGTCCACACGCGATGTGGGTTCCGATGAGACACTTGTCCAGGTTGTTTGTGTTGAAAATGTTTTGGGTAAACATTAAAGTCAACGCTGGTCTTCAGATGGGATAGTAAAATATAGTATAGCTGGTATTTATATAGTACATGCAGCGGACGCACGGACCTTTACGCACACGCTTTTACGCACGGATACATCGGGTTAAGTCACAGCTGTACCAGTGAATGCGCTCATGGAGTTTGTTAATCAAGTTATTTATTTGGTGATTACAAGCTTCTCGTTTGCTGTCATCGAAAATGTGAAGACGCATCATCATGACGCTGACTCTGGCACCGGGGGCAGGTGATGATGACCGGACGCACTAAACCGGGGTGAGAGCCTCGTCATTGTCTGATCATATCATTATATGAACATCACTTCAGTAAGTCAAACCAAACTTAACGTTTGTTGCAGTGCCACAAACGACCAGCGAGACTTTTACGCACGCCTGGACATCAGTCAAACAACACGGTGCCGCGTCTTGATGTGCCACACGAGATCAGCTGAACCCGAGACCCTCAGGCGCACGTGTGGACGCACCGGTGGAAACATCTCCACAGACCCTCAGCTTCAGCCCCACACGTTATTTCGCTTTCCAACAAATCAAAGGGGAGGCTCCTGCAGCAGCCAATCAGCAGAGAGACCGAGCACCGCCGCTGCCTGATGAGCAACACGCACATTTACAACCATCAGTGAATGAACCGTCATCTGTCAGTCATCTGCTGCTCAGAGGAGACACTCACATCAACGCGCCCCTGCTGCACCAACACGTCATATTCAAACCAGAAGATTAGAAAACATCAATCACAACAATCACTCCCTCACTCTGTGGAGTGAGAGAAGAATGTGAGGCCGCCCAGTGAAAAGATGCATTCCTTCCTTTAACATTTCAGCCTCACAACACACCAAACAACCCCCACACTGACAAACTGTCTCCAGATGGAGATCTGGAGGAGGCAGAGGCGGAGAAGAGGGGGGCAGATCCCCAGCTTATGGCTTGGAGAGGCGGACACATGTGGTCTTGACGCCTCTTATGCACCCAGGTGTGTTTTTAGCACATCTGGATGGAACAGGACGCAGATAAATCCCTCAGAGGAATTTGAAGGATCTGAGGAGCAGGTTCTGTCGGCTGCAGACTCTGGTAATGACTCAGCTTATCTCATGTTTATTTCACATTAAAATATTTGATCAGATCCCATTAAATCAAACATTAAAGCAAGAACAGAGGACGCCGGAAGTAGAAATTTGGACTTGAGTGCACATGGAGGTGGTGGAGTTGTTTGTCCAATCAGAGAGCTGATTCACTGTGGGGCGGACGATCAGACACATCATCTCCTCCATTTCTGCTGCATCACCACAAACTGCTCCAACACACAAAACCTCATTTCAATTCTACCCAGGATGTAAAGTCTCTAAACATCGTGACTGAATTTTGACAAGAACCGAAAAAAGACAATGAGCAGAAATCATGTGAGATTATTTCTGAGATTAGTCACTTATGTCATAATTCCTTTAAACTCCAAGTCTTAAAATGACTTAACAGCCTAAAACCCAGAGATACTGAGTTTATAAATCATGACTCTGAGAAAAGCAGAAAACTGACCTGTTATCAGTTGCTGATTAAGTTCATGAACATTTATGGCAAATTTCCCCGTAGAGGGACTAAAAAAAAGTTGATCTTATCTCAACTAATGTAATCGATTTCTAACTTCAGCTCCTCACGTGACGAAACAGCACGAAAGTCCAAATATTTAGGGTTAATATCTCGTCCACTGAGCTGCAGACGAAACACAGACGATTCCAGAGCTTTACATTCACTCTGATATTCTCAGATTACTTCAAAAGCAGGGGTGGAAAGTAACTACTATTTGAGTATTTCTACTCAAGTACTGTACTTTTTTCTACTTGAGTACTTCAATATACTTGTACTCCACCATGTCTAGGATGACATGTGACTTCACTCCATGTCAGGTTGCACAGAACGATTTTGAAACCCTGTAATTATAAACTGGATTTACTGTCCAAGCATTTATTTAACTAATGTCTTTAAAACCAGATCAAATGCTGCTTTGCGTGAGTTCAAATGATCCGGTTTCACATGTTACACTAAAGGAGCCGTTCTGTTTTCATGTGAGCACATTTACTTTTAATACTTTATGCACATTTTACTGTCAATCCTCAGTTTTGTAAAATTTTTACACAGTGGTTTTTACTTTTGTTACTTCAGTTGAGAAAGAGAAAGAAAAGTAGAGATGGAAAAATAAAAAGTCTTTTAAAAACATAAAGACAAATCTTGCATTATTAAATTATAAGATATGTGTTATGATCACAGCAGCAGAACGACCAACAGCCAGAGTCACAAGGAAATGTTCTCAGAGAGGAGAAAAGCTCATAAACGCTTCATGTTCATATGGAACCTGTTAAATCAACCTCCTGCGTTGTCCTGCGTTCAAAAATATTGAGTAGAAATGTATGCAACCGTGCATCAAGCTGCAAAATCGAACTAAATGATGTTTTATAAACTTCTAACAATCCTAAAATGCAAAAAGCTGGTGAATGAATGTGGTGGAAAATTAACAGAAGAATAAAGGGAGACTTCTGAGTTTTACCTCTAAATAAACTTAAATTCACCTCTGATGTGAAAGTTTCAGTTTCACGTCATCTACACAAACTAATACAAGCTGAATCATTTCTCTGTGTTTAAATGAAAAGGTGTTGACAGGGAGTTGTGAAGGAGGCGAATCCTTCTCCTCTGTCAGACCTGCCACCTGTTGACCATCTGACATGAAGCTGTCGTACTTCAGAGAGAGTTATTATGCTGCAGAATGGATCCTCTCATCTTTTGTGGACTCCATGTTGTTTAATCACTGTTTAATGAGCGTGTGTATGGAGCATTCACAGGCTGCAGATAGTGAGGAGGGAGATCATTAAATATTCCATGTGTTATTTGGAAGTTTTATCTATAACAATACTTCATATTCAATAAAATGCTCACTTGTTTAGTGCATCTGTCAAATACATGTAGTGGAATAAATCATGAACTGAACTGTGTGTGAGTGTATCTCAGTTAAAAGTTTTAGTTTCACATCCTCCTCACTCAGACTACATAAAAGCTGCACCACGGAGGAATCAGTGTGTGCAGTGAGTTTTGAGGAGCTGGACCTCAGACCTGACACCTGTTCACCGCAGGAACAAATCCTGCAGCCTCCTCCTCTGAGCGGATTTGTGGATTTAAACACTCACCTATAATTTTCTCCTGGTAGCCCTTGGTGAAGAACTGCATGGCGGTGGCGGCCCTCCAGGGGGTCTTGAGGAGCCCCTGCCGCTGCGGGTCCTCACCCAGCCCCCGCAGGATGGCGGTGTAGGCGGCGGCCAGGGACGGCAGACTAATCTCGTTGTCCTCCACGCTCCGGGTGCGCTCCTCCCTCCAGCTCTCCTGCGCGCCGGACTCCGCGCCCGGAGCCTGCGCAGCGCCGGAGCGCACGGTGCCAGTGCCTGCCGGCCGCTTCACCATCCCGTCAAAGTGCCCGTTGAGCACGGAGCCACCTTCCCCGGTGTCCTTCTTCTCGCCGGAGCCGTACTGAGTCTGTTTGGAGTGCTCCATCGCTTCCTCTGGTCCTTGGCCTCAGCTCACTCCGGTTGCAGGTGAAGTTTCTCCCGCAGCTTCTTCCATGACCAGGCTTTATACGAGCAGGGAGATCCAGGAAGGGCTCCTATTGGCTGCCCGGCTCCAGAGGGAGGGTTCACTTCCCCTCTGACTCCCACATGGATCCTGATGATGAAGATGAAGATGTGCAGGGAACCATCATCATTAAGTCCATTTTAATGCAATCTGCTGGAGCCTGTTCAGAGACCAGATACAACCTGTGGGGATAAAAACTAAAGCTCCAGCTCCTCAAACAACAATCAAACTGCACCGAATCACTGTGATGGTTGGTTGTGGGCACACTGAGGCAGTTCCATAACAACTGAGTAGTGTGCATTGAATCTTGAATAAATATGTCTTTCATGTCATCTCCTCGGAGGAGAGAATAAAAAAGGATGGATCAAGATCACAAGACGTTGAGTAAAAAGTACGTTTCCCAAAACACTCTGCAGACAGTTCTTTCAATTCAATTCAATTTGTATCGCGCCAAATCATAATATACATTATCTCAAGGCACTTTACATAGAAGGTCAGGACCTCAAAATCTTATTTAATATAGAGAAACCAAACAGTTCCCACAACGAGCAGCACTTTGGCGACTGTGCAGAGAAGAGCTCCCTCGTTAGAGAAACCTCGAGAACCAGACTCAGTGTGGGGGCGGCTGTCTGCCTCGACTGGTTGGGGTGAGCAAAGGAAAATGGGGAGGAGAAGGGGGGATGGGTGGAAAAGAGGGGAGAGAAGAGAGCATATAGTTATCAACAAGTGTGGGAGTGAAGTTTTGATAACTCTCCTGTATTGTACTGACACACGAGAGGGAAGTCCAGAAGGAAGCAGTTCTTTAAATGTGTTCACAGTTTTATCAGACAGACACCGACTGGAATTTCTTGTGCAGGTGAAGTGAGTTGATGTTTTAAAGGTAAACTGAAAATATTTCCTCTGATTTAGTTATAAAAAATATTCATATCGTCAAAACTTTGACTTAGTATATTTCATTGATTTCAAACTGATCAATGAGCCAATGAATACAATGAGTGTGATCGTCGGTTGGTTTTTAAGATTACACAGAAACTACGGGACAGATTTTATGAAACTTGGTGGACGGATGCAGCGTCATTGAATTCAGGCGTTTTTTTTTTCTTTCTTTAACATTTTCAGTTTTCCCATGGATCTGGATTCTGACTTTGTTGGTGATGACCCCAAAGTTCAGTCTAAGTTTTTTTCAAAACATAAACCTTGCAACTGGAGGAATCAAATGATTTATCAATATAAATGGGCCGACATGAGTGTTTCACAGACATATTGGTATCAGGTTTATTGTATGTGACAAGTAATTTTATTCTAAATGCAAATCCTATGTTTGGATGCATTTGTGTTTTCCTTTTATTCAGATATTTATGATAAAGTTTATGGTTAAACTGTAAAACATCAAACCTCCATTACTTTTCTTTGACATAATAGTTTGATAACAACATCTTAGGAGTCATTACCATGTTTTTAAAAATAAATCTATCTGCTATATAATACTGCAACCACCAGCAGCAAGCTACGAGTCAAACCTTTTCTTTCCAGTGACTACTCCAATAGTTTATTCCAGGTTTACGTGCGACGTGCCCGGAAAAACCGATCTGTGCAGCGAGCAGAGACGCTCTCACACATTTCTGGTTCCTGCAGAATCACTGATGAAAACACTCAGTGTGAGAGAACACGACATGAACCACAATCACTGTGATTTTTCACTGGAATCTAATGAGTTCATCTGAGTAAACGTTCCTTGGAGGTGTACTTGAGATATTGTGTTCACAAGAATGGGACTCATCTATGGACAACCTAAAAAGGGACAAAACAAAATTGCAATGTTTCAATAAATCCCACAAATTTGAACTTTAAGTCTAAAAATGTACATTTATTCAAAAATTTAAACAGTGAAGTTTTTTTTAGAAACATAATATTAAATCAGCAACACTGACAAACACTGGAGCTGATGAAAGTCACCGATCCTTCACAACGTTGTGATTAAGTGCCACAAAACTCAGAGAACGTATCCAGCAGCAGATTTAACGTGTGGATGTTTCAACGATGTCAGGATGGACAGTTTTCACATATATATCAAAAACACCATGAACCAAACCTAAACAAATCATTCAAACGTTTAATTTTTGTTGAACGCGAATGCTGAAAGTTTGGAGGCAGAATCCAAAGACTTTTTCTTCTTGGCATCGTTTTCCTCTGCTTCTTCTCGTCCGGTTTCATTTTCCACATCTTCTCCACCTCCTGCTCTTTTCCTCTTCTTCAGATCTGCTGCGTCTCCAGTTTGGCCTTTCGCTCTCTCTGTCCACGACTGAACCAAACAAACAGAAATAAAGGACATGAAGTGCACGTGTTAATTGGCGAACAGGACAAAGTGATTTTGTATTGTTCTCGTGTCTCCATCCAGACACACGCGGATGCTCAGGCGTGCGCTCTGAAAATTGCATCCTGTCACATATAATCACTGAAGACAGGCTGCATCTCTTCGGCCCGCTGGCTCTTTTTCTCTGCCTGCTTTTATTTATTTTTCCCTCCCTTTCTCTGCCGGCAGAGACAAAAGGAAGCGTTTTCCTGGACGTAATGGAGCCAGGATGAATCATCAGGCCTGGTGAGTGAGCACAGGCCCCACACACACACACACAACACACTTCACCTCCAGCACACAATGAAGCACCGCCATTAACCCCACACACAAACATTCACAGAGCTGAGAGGTGGTTCAAGCTGTGACGTCTCACTGTTCAGTTGTCATTTCATTGTATTTGGAGAGAATAATGTAATTAGGAGCAACACACACACACACACAATCTGCTTTAACGACATTAAAGGGAGCGTACACATGTCTTTTTGCTACAGACTATAATTTATAATTCTGTTTACACTGCATACA